ACTCAGCCCATGGGACAGCCGATGAGTTATGGGCCCGCGTGGCCTTGGACTGCTGGGGGTGTACCTCCCCCTCCAGCATCGCTACTCCATGGCAGCCTTCCTGCAGGATTACCACATGCCCCAGGTCTCTCGCAAGGACCAGCTGCAGCTCCACTTCCTCTACCTGCTCAGGGACAACCTGTACCTTGGTGGACGGGAGCGGGCCCCAGCTGGGGATGGAACGGAGGTTGGTCGATGATGGCCCCAACTTACGGCATGGGTTTTCCTCTACCGCCGCAAGCTCCGGTGCAAGGCGGCCAGCCACCTCCCGGTGGCTCGTCTTCTCCTTCTTCGACTTCGACGAGCACAAGCGGAGCAGGGAGAGCTCAAGAAGCAACCAGGCCGGAGCCAGCAGATGGTCAGGAGCAACAAGCAGGTGGCCCTTCCGATCTTCCTCGGCCAGATGGTGCTCCTGGCGGGTGTCCTCCTGCAGCTGGGCAAGGCTCTTCAGTACCAGGAGGCGACCCTCCCCGACAAGGACCTAGTGATCTTCCTGGGCAGCCTGTTGGCTGCGAGCCTGGCACCCCGGGCGGCTCCTCTTCGGCCGGAACATCGGAGCTACGATCCTTGCTCCGAAGGAAGGCCAGGGAGCAAGAGAGACCGAACAGCAGTATCGGTTCTGTACGTATAGAAGAGTTTGCCGGGGACCGCCGAAAATACTTGAAGTGGAAGAAGGCCATAGAAGCACAAGAGAAGCTCTACCGTTTGGAACCGGGCGAGGTCAGCATGCTGGTCTATCTCTCGACGCGGGCCGAGGCCCGCGATGTTCTCGACCAAGTCCCCCTCTCCGAGCTGACGGGTGCTGAGGGAAGCCTGGTTCTTTGGAGGCTTCTCGACGAGTCTTTCGGCGAAAGTGGGGCCGAGCTTTTCGAGAGGGCCGAACTTATTTGGCCTCTATGCGGCGACTCAAGGCCCAGTACACCAGGATCGACCCTGACACGGTGATCTCCGACCGAGCCTGGGCGCAGCGGTTGCTCAACAGGGCTTCTTTGAGCAAAAGGGAGCGCTTGGATGTCTACTATTCGGCGGGTGGTTCCTACACGGCCTCGGGCATCGAGGCGGCGTTGCGCCATAGATGCTCTCAGGTGCACGAGGAGGAGCGACGTATCCCCACTCCCTCGACGGCGTCTTCCCGAAGTACTTGGAGCTCACGGGCGTCCTCCTCAAGAGCCTCTTCTGCCCCAAGTTCGTCTACGGTGGCTTCGCGGCGGCCTCCTTTTGGAAAGGGGGGCGGAAAGCGCAGCGGGGTGCACCTGGCAACTGAGCTGGGCGAAATCGACGAGAATGAGGACCTGGAGCTGGAAGAGGCAGCCGACGACCTTCCTGAGGAGTACGACCAAGAGGCCGAAGACCAGGAAGCCAGCGAGATTGCCGAGGAGCCGGGTGAGGACGACATTGCTACGGACGAGGTCACAACGGAGCAGGTTGTTGAGGCCTTTGCGGCGGGCTGGAAGGCAAAGGCTAAGACAGCCGATGGCAGAAAGGCTCGTGGCTGGAGCCGGCCTGGCTCCAAGACTTCGTCTACCTCGGTGCCGCGATCCCCCTCTACTACCTCGGCACGGTCGTTGGATGAAAAGAAGAAGGGGAGCACATGCTCCTTGGCCTGCGGGGACACTGGAGAGGAGACCCTCAGTGTGCCAATGTTATTTCAGGCAAGGACCCGCCGCACAGGAAGCCAGAGTCGATGGGCACTCGCGAGGTGAACTTCACCAACTTCACGTTTGTGGTGGGCGAGGGCCAGGAGGATGCCTTTCCTCCTCCTCTTCCTGTCTCTTCGGGGTCTTCGACGGCGACACCTGGCTGGACATCTTCGCCGACATGCCCCTCATGCTTTGCCGCGGTGACCATGGATCAGAAGTTCTGCCGGGAGTGTGGGCACAAGCTTTCCCCGAAAAGGGATTGGGAGTTTGTTTCGGCAAAGGATCAAGAGCCGGAGCCCCGACCGATGAGAGATGTGCGCCTACCCAAGCAGGCCCTGACTGGAAGGGCCAAGGATTCCAGGCACACCGTCAAGATGAAGCCCTTGGAAGCCATGGCGGCCCTGGACAACCTGACGAAGGAGGATAAGAAGCACCTGCGAAAGATGTTGCAGAAGGAAGAGGACGAGGATGCGGAACAACGGCCTCTTCCTCGCGGCTATCCTCTGGAGGCAGCCGGCCCAGCTATGTCCTCAAGCCCACCATGGGTGCCTGCGGCAACGGCGGTACAATCGGCACTCCCTACGCCGCCGGCTCCCTTGCAGCCACCGAGCCGAAAGGACAGCCAGGGCAGAGATAAGGTGGAGGGTGTCCGCAAGCGCGAGTAGAACGATTTTCGGCGCGCCCTTTGGCAAAGGGCCTGGAATGGCACGAGGACGAGCCCATCCTCGGCGGCACCCGTTCCTTCAGAGAAGCAGGCCCGGTGCCGCCACGACTTCGAGCAACTGATCTGGGTGGCGAACCAGCACGGGCACTATGCAAGGTGCAAGCAGTGTGACCTCAAGAATGTCCTTTACTACTCCGAGCGGCACGGTGTCTTGACGGCTGGTGCCCCACCTGAGGCGAGCTCTTCGGCACCCTTGTCGGCGACCTCGGGCCAGGTGATCCTGGACAGCGGGTGTCGCGCAGCCGTGGCTGGCACAAGGTGGCACCAGGCACTGCAGGCCGAGCTCCAAAGGCGCCAGATTTCCTGGCACGAGATTGAGGAGAATGAGGTTTTTCAGTTCGGTGCCGGCGGCCCAGAGATTTCGCGGAGAGCTTATATTTACCTTGTGGGCATCTATGGCCGGGTGGATTTGATAAGGGTGTCTTCGGTGAGTGCAGCGGCCGAAAATTGCCCAGGGCTGGTGGGACCTTCGGAGCTTTCGCGGTGGGGTGTGTGTTTTGACTTTGCTGCCAAGACCATGGAGGTTTTCGGAGAAAAGCACCCTATGCTTTTATCCGCGACTCGGCGCCCAGCCCTGGATATCCTCGACTTCCACTTCCCGGCCGGCGACCCTTGGAACCAGCCTGGCCTTCGAGATCGGCAGCGGCTTCTGGAAACGAGTCCCTAGAGCCTGGCATTTATGGTGCTTGGCCGGGAGGAGACCGAGGACGTGGAAGCCAGCCCCCGCAGCGAGGAGGAGGAGGCCAAGAGTGATCCGGAGCCCCAGTTCTTTGGCAACTTCGGAGAAAAGGAACGGAAGCGAAAAGTGGCTCATTGGCTGGGCCTCTTGGAAAGCGACCTCGGCATCAAGGTGATTCGTGACCTCCCCGACGCCGAGAACACCGGCTCCGAGGCTACCATGGCCAGTTCTCGGACTGCCCTTTGTCCCGGAGGTGGCTCAGATGGAAACACAATAAGCGGCCACGAGTTTGGTGTGGAAGCAGCCGCCGACGAGGACAGCGAGGCCACAGAGGAGGATGAGGAGCTGGTTCCCGAGGATCAGGGGAAGCCTTGTTTCTTTCACAAGGCACTTCGCTAGAAAATGCGCAAGGTGAAGGGCGATATGAAGGGCATGCTTCCAGACCACGGCCCGCACAAGTTTGTTGATGATAGCCCGGTGTTCTTTGAGAGCACCCCCTTGGCAGCCAGGAAGCGTGTTCGTCGAGCTGGGCCTTGGAGAGTTGTGGAAATTCTGACGTTGACCATGGCTGTGGGCATGGCCGCGTGCAGTCGTGGTTGGGAAGTGGGCGAACCTATCAGCGTCCCCGGCTTTGACCTTTCTCTCCCCGCCGACCAGGAGAAGGCCCACGAGTACCTGGAGAGATTCGACCCCGACTTTGTGATGATCGCCTGGCCTTCTCTCTGCTGGGAGGATGCCCCTGCGCAGTTCTATGAGGAACAAGGACGCCAACGCGTACAACAAAGGCGCCTTCTGGGTTGGATTCAGGAGACGGTCTTTCAACTTAGGCGGCGTGGTGTTGCTGTGATTGGCGAGCACCCTTGGTGCTCAGCAGCTTGGCAGGAGCCGATCGTCGTGGATACTTGGGCCGGCTTGGCGGCGGGCCGGGCTGAGATGTGTGCCTATGGTCTGCGGAGGCCAGACCATGAATGGGGAAACGGGCGTGGACTTCATCTTCGCCGGCCTCTGCGCGTTGTGGGCACCAGGGAGATTGTGGCAGGAGTGCGCCGCCTATGTCCTGGTGGTCATCGCCATGCCCCTTGTCTGGGAGGAGTTTGTGCTCAAGGCCAGTGGCGCTTTTTGGGAAACTTCTTGGGTGGCTATCCAGCAGACTTCGCCCGGGAGATTGGGAAAAGGGCAGAGGTTTACCTTGAAGAGCGCCCGAAGACCAAGCAAAGTGGAGATAGCTTCTATGTGACCCCGACCGTGCAAGAGGAAGCCTTTATGGATACAGACCTGGACTTTGTTCACACGGTCCTCTTCGATGACGGAGGGGGCACAGATTTTCTTGATGACGCTCCAGAGAACCAGAAGCACGACAATCCCGACACAGAAAACCACGACGAGGAGGGGAGCGTTGATTTTCCAGATGGTGTTCCAGGCCTGGACTTAGAGGACCAGAAGCACAACAATCCCGGCACAGAAAACCACGACGAGGAGGGGTCCCTTGTAGATATTGACATGTCTGGTCACAGTCCTTTGTTGGAGCGGGTCCATATGTTACACCGTCGTCTTGGTCACCCTACCAACGAGACCCTGGTGAGAATGTTGCAACACGGTGGGGCCAAGGACGAAGTGCTCAAGTTGGCAGCAGACCTGGCTTGTCCTACTTGCCAAATGGCCAAGGCACCTCACAGACCTTTTCCGGCACGACCTGAAGTTCGAGCAGTGGTGTTCAACACGGTGATCCATGCAGACCTGAAGTACCTCAAGGATTTTCGAGGGGAGGTCTATGTGGCCCTTTCTGTGGTGGACGAGGCTACAAACTATCACTTGGCAAAGTTGCTAAGGAACCGGGAGCCTAGCCATGTGGCGGCCAAGTTCATGTCGATGTGGATTGGGTTGTTCGGGCCACCCCAGAGGATAACGCCTTGACCAGGGAGGAGAATGGGAATCGGATTTTATCCAGCTCCTGGAACCTCACTCTATTCACTCCGAGTTCGTTGGCTCCCATTCCCCTTGGTCCAATGGCTATGCGGAACGGCATGGCGCTTTGTTGGGTGCGGCTGTGCAGGCGAATGTTGACGAGAAGCAGCTTACTGGAAGGAGCCACATGAAGCTGGGACTTTCGTGTGCGTGCCAGGCCAAGAACAGTGTGATCAGCCGGGGTGGCCACAGTGCGCACTTCTTGGTGTTTGGGCGGCAGGCTGCGTACCCAGAGCTGTTGGATGATGAGGTTTGGGCTCGTAAAAGTCTGGGCTTCGCCTTGAGCATAGAGGGTGAGGCGGCTCGTGCCGCAGAGCTACGTGCAGCTTCGAAGGTCGCCTTGCTGAGAGGAGACGTGCTTGAGAAAATAAAGAGGGCCCTTCGCAGGGCTCCGGCCGGGGAGAGGCGCGACTACACCCCGGGGAGATCGTATATTTTTATTCTCCTGCCGGCCTCAAGAGCAGGAGGTACAAGAAGGACCTGGGCTGTTGGAGGGGACCTGCTGTTGTCCTGATGGCTGAAGGTTCCGACCGATATTTCATCTCCTGGAGGGGGCGCTGTTTGTTGGTCTCAGGAGCCAACCTAAAAGGAGCAACCGTGGAGGATGCCAACCGCCAGGACCTGCGAGAAGAGAGTGCAGAAATGGACCTCGCCAAGGGATATATCGATATGACCCAAGATGATCCCCCTCCTCTTGAGGTGGAAGCTCCCTTCTCGGTGGAAGGCCCAGACCTGGCAGCCAAGAGAAGGCTCAACGGAAGCGGGCGAAAGCCGACAGAGGCGCGCCGGATGATGGCTGGCCTCAAGTCGGTGAAGAAGATCTTAAAAGGGCCTCTTGACCCCAAGCAACGACGACGTCTACTACCACAATGGCGGCCCAAGAAGGGACGAACTACGGATGATTCCCCGGCCCATCCTCCTGGCGTTCCTTCTGAAGAATGTGCAGAAGAACCAGTACCGGAACGAGTTGTTGCTGACCCAGAACAAGAAGATTTACCGGATGGGCCCGAATGGCAGGAAGCTCCCGCTGCAGCAGCTCCGCTGCAGCAGCTCCTTTGCGGGAGCTTACCCCGGAGGAGGAAGCCTCGAACCGGAACCCGCTTGATGACCTGCCTTTTCAGTTTCGAAAGAGGGCTCGCGAGGACGAGCCGGAAGATCACGAGGCCAAGCGTGTCCGGACCACCGACTTCGCGAACTACGTGATGGTGGCCCTGGCGGAGGAGGAGCTGAAAGGAGAAGCTGCGTCAGCCAATGAGTGGCTGCCCCGTTCTGAGGTGACTCGCCTTGGGGCCTTGCTGGACATGCCTCTGACCTCTGTTCGTCTACACCGGGCCCCTCGAAAGCGTTTCCAAAGGCCAGGTGGAAGAGGGACCAAGAAACGCGTCACCGTGATGTTCGGCACTGACCCTGGGCAGGTGATGGTGGCCCAGGAGACGCTTCAACAAGTTGCCGAGCGTCCGGCCCGACGCTCCCCACACCTCTGGCGTGGCATTTCGCTCTTCGTGGCCGGCAAAAAGAGCAAGATCAAGAAGGGCAACTTGCAAGGCTCGCAGCTCTACCTCCGCAAGATCAACCGTACTTTTGTGGTTCATACAGAAGACACGGAACTCACCGAAGCCGCCTCCAAGGACCTTGCCGATTATTTGGCGATGTCAGAGGCTTTTCTGCTTTTCTTCTGAAGGCCAAGGCCAATGGAAAGGAGCTGGATCCCCGCTTCTTTTCCCAAGAGGAACAGAAGGCCTTTGATGAGGCAGACAAGAAGGAGTGGGAAGGTTGGGTGTGCAACCACGTGGTGGAGGAGATCAACCCAGAGGAGGCAAAGCGCATCCCACGAAGCCGTGTTTTTGCTATTCCGGCCCGTTTGGTTCGGACGAACAAAGTGCAGGCCGGAGAGAAAGGGCTCACAGCGAAAAGCAGAATAGTGCTGCCGGGACACCTCGATCCCGACATGGGGACGATAAGAACGGATGCCCCAACCACGCAAATGTCTGCTGTCCGCCTAGCCGTGGCTATTGGGCTGATGTATGGTTGGGACTTCCTGCTCTTTGATGTGAGCACTGCTTTTCTCAGCGGGAAGGCAGTAGATCGAGACCTGTATGTGCGCCCGCCTCGAGATCTCAAGTGCGTGAACGCGGCCGTTCTTTGGAAGATCCTGAAGTCGGCGTACGGCTTGAGTGAGGCGCCGAGGCTCTGGTACATGCAGGCAAAAGAACTTAACTTCTCAGGCGATGCAGTTTTGAAGAGGTTCCCTGGGCCCCAGCAACGTTTGTCAAGAGGCGAGGAACAGACGTGGTGGCAATCCTCTGCCTCCACGTAGACGACGGCTTCCTCGCGGCAAAGAAGGGGAAGGAGATCCAGGAGGCCCGGGAAGAAATCAACAAGTTGTTCTCCATCAAGGAATGGCAGGCTGTGAACCACGAGCCCAAGGCCTATCTCGGGATGAAGATATTTCTTGTTGATGGAATTTTCTTCAATGACATGAAGGAGTATGTCTTGGAGATCCGGCCTCCTGTTTGCGACCCAAAGGCTTCTGAAGAACGAGCCCTAGAACACTCAGAGCTTCGAGAGTTTCGCCGCTTGGAGGCTCAACTTCGGTGGCCAGTGCACCTGGTGATGCCCGAGTTCCTTTACTCAGTGAGCGCACTGGCCCAGAGGGTCAGCAAGGCCCAAGTGAAGGACCTTCGCCAGGCCCGGGATACCTTGAAGGAGGTGCAGCAGGCGGCCGCTCGAGGACAAGCCGTCTTGAAGTTTGAAAGGCTGAAAAAGGACGCCCTCCTCGTGAGCTTCTTCGACGCTTCGTTGGGCAAGGCTGCAGACCACACCGCGCAACGAGGAGAAGTCCATTTCCTGGCCGACTCGGATGTGCTTCAAGGCCAGGGCAGGGCATGTATCTTGGAGTTCCACTCGAACAAGATCGCCCGAGTGGTGCGGTCTTCCTTGGCAGCTGAAGGAGCAAGCATGGCGGCATGCACAGACAGGCTTGTGTATAACATGAAGCTCTATGACGTGCTCAAGAATGGAAGCCTGGAAGTTTCCCCTACGTGGCGTCGTGAGCTGGGAAGCACCGGCCACATCGTCACCGATGCGAGGAGCCTCTT